TATTTAAACTGTACAATTATAACAATTAAAAACTATAATTTTATAAATTTAATTAAAGTGAGTGATACACAAGCCATTTATCTATTGACCTTCAAGTATAATTATATGAATTGAATTTCGTATAAAATAAACTTCTAAAAAGTAGTTAATGTCAATGCATAGCAGCGTTAGGGAGTGACGTCATTTTATTCATGAGAAAACACAATTTTGATGTTACAGGATTTGTACCCAGAACCCTGGGAATGTTAAAGCAAACATTTTATCGACTAGGATAAATATCCACTCCACTTGAATGTCTATACAACTAGCCCTATACTGTGATGACGACATTTATGTTACAATACTAACATTGTGATCCATGTATTATTTTGCGTGTGTGTGTGATATGGTGGGGGGGGGGGGAACTTGGTGTACCAGCTGTATGTACTGACGTAATCAGGTAATTACTATATGTTAGACTGGCTATCCATGCATTATGTAATTTCTCAAATGCTTTTATTTCTCTGTATCTGCGCCTGACTTCATTTGGTAGTCAGTCAGATTACGCCAGCCTTGATCAAACTTCCTGCATTGTGATTGTGACAAAATGATTGTTTCAGATACTGTACTGATAAATACGAATTAGATTTGCAGGCTTGATGACGACTGGCATATCTGATGTTACCCAGAAGTCTTTTGAGTAAGAACTACAGTAGTGCCGAATCAACTTCATCATCAATGTAATGACAAATGTATTGATATAAGTTTTCTGCTTAAATATTTTATTTCTTTTCACTTCAATCAAGAATATGTACCAACATCGGAATCTTTTAGTTTGGCTTGGCTTCACGAAAAACTTCATCAGCTGAGTTCCGACATCACAAGGAAGTTAATTACGCTGTGAAAAACAAATCCAATTGTATTTTTAAATAATTATGATTATTTTGCTAAACACGCTTAATAAAATCTAATTTTATTTGTTTATCATCTTCAGTACCTAATTTTTTTCATGCTATCTTATGTCAAATTTATCGGTGAACCCCATGGTTAGACTTGCTAAATTTACTGCAGCTTTAATGTTTAATCTTAGTGCATCTGACTTTATACCTGCACAACTTAAATAAATTAATGAATAAAATAAATAAATACCTTCTGTTAATTCGTTTAATGCCATACTGAGGTTAAGGATTTTCAGCGAATCAGTGAATTCCTTCATATTTTTTTTGCTGATTATCTGTTGGTCTTCTAGATCGTTGATCATACTCCAGCCGTCTTTATACTTCTTAGGAGGCGTATTATACAATTGATCGATCTGCGTCACATTATCTGGGGTCAGTACCATTCCAAATTTCATTAGCCTTTGTCTGTGAGATGTGAATGTTTTTGAAATGGTTCCTTCCTCCACATCTGGGAATGATCGCAGTTTTTGTTTAATCTTCGATAAAAGACCAAACTGTTTGGTTATGCTAATAGTATCACACAGGAGTCCAAGATTCTGTGAACTCAGATGGCCACGTTTAAATAGTATATACAGCAGGTCCATCGTGTGAGTTGCTGGTGATAGCTCGAAATTGTCTATCTTGTCTCTGAACAACACTTTCAGCAAAGGAACACTTTCGTTGCTGTCATACCATTGTGAGACAATAGTTTTTAGCTCTCGCAACTTCTTATCTGACAATGCTATGAAATAATTATACATTCAATATTTATATCATTTTCCATTTGCATTTTTTAAATTTAGATTTTTCATAAATATATATTTCAATATTAAATTTAATATTTTCACAGTTGCCGGGAGTAAATTGTTTGTTATTATATTATTACTTATTACAAGCATCCCTACAAATCATACAGTAAATAATTATAATAATATAATTCTAATAAAAAAAAAAGTGTGAAGTTTACAATTCTCTTCCATACAATTTATTAAGTCCTTCGCCTGCATATAATACATTAGGTACTAGAAATGTAACAGAATTATTTGTCCAGGCTATGGTATTAGGATTTTTGCCTGCATATAAGACATTAGGTACTAGAAATGTAACATAATTATTTGACCAGGCTGTGGAATTAGGATTTTGCCAGCAAGACATTAGGTACTAGAAAAGTAACAGAATTATTTGACCAGGCTGTGGAATTAGGATTTTTGCCTGCATATAAGACGTTAGGTACTAGAAATGTAACAGAATTATTTGACCTGGCTGTGGAATTAGGATTTTGCCAGCAAGACATTAGGTACTAGAAATGTAACAGAATTATTTGTCCAGGCTATGGTATTAGAACGTATAGTGATGCTGGGTCCACCACAATCAGTTCAGGTAGTTTTTTATTTTATAATTATCTAAAAACAGTAATTATCTAAACAAAGTTAAGGAAAAAATAATTTGAAAAAATAATATGAACCAAGCAACATCAAGTGGAACAATGCGATAAGTGCATGAAGATTATTCCTCTTATAAAAGACTATAGAACTACAAGAAATCCAACTCTCGTGGTTTCATTGAAACGTAACCCTATTTTTTAAAAGTAGTGCCACGAAGGGGCGTGTCCTTAAAACTTAAAAGTTTCGAGCGAACTCTATTCGAAATCTAATAGGGCGCCCCCATCACGTGGCAGTATGTTCCATTGCGTGCATACAAAATCAGGGAAGTCGGACCTCTTGCTATTCAATACTCTTTGCTCTTATTCATTGTATTTAATGTATGTTTTAGGGGTTCCCCCATACAGTATCTTCAAATTTCCTTTACATGTAATCTAGTGTTGTATAGAAGTATCTACAGTATTGTTATTTCAAAATCCGGTCTAGTTTCAAATTCTGACGATAAAGCCGTTTCACTGATTTTTTTTTCATAGTGCGTTAACTATTTCAATTACACACATACACAAAATAGTCGTTTCTAATCGGATTCAAATTTTTACAAGCCTCTGTTGTAGTTGGTTCAGTTGGTTAATGTGTTTGCATATAAAGTAGGAAGACATCAACGTCCACCTGCTTTATACGTTTTACAGTATAAGTGTATCTACCAACCTGTATTCATAGCCGAGGATTGATGAGCCGTATACGTAACTGAGGATTTATGTAGAATACCTGTAATTATATAAATAATTATTTGTTTCACATTATAGTTATGTAAAAGTTTTGTTACAATTATTACACATACATTTAAAATCCTTGATAAAAATTGTGTTGCAGACCAGTGTTGTAGTCAATTTCGTGAAGGACAATACAATGCAAAAAATAGCCCGAACCAATAAAATAAAATTTAATTTAATTATAAAATTAACTGAGAAAATTTTCTTTTTTGACAACAGACTAATCTGTAAAATGACAAAATAATTTGGAAATTATTTAATCTTGAATTCTCTAATTGTTTTTACAATCGTTTCTCTACCTAAATTGGAATTTACTCCATTCAACATTATCTAATCATTTTATGAATTATTACTTCAATAGACTAAACACATACCAGCTGCAAATAGCTTCTGTACATTAGATGCTGGCATCGTTATAAGTTCACCAGTTTTGTCACAAGTCATATTCTCATTCTTTAAGCAGTACTCAAGTTCTTGAAAGTGTGGTTCCTCAGTGTTTGAACAGACTAAGCAAAGGATTTTCAGAGCATAGCCGACAAGTCTCTTAGACGGATATACCTCACCTAGATGTTGCTTTAAAACCTGCAAAACCTGTAAAATGTAATACAAATGTTTTACTTCAAATTCAATTATAATATAATTAGCCATTTGGTATCAAATCTAAATTAAGTATAATCTCAGATCACCAATGATCAATGAATTAAATCATTACCTCCTTACAGACGTCAGGATGCGGCTTGCACGCTGACATGTTTGTGCCGTCTGCGTCTCTCTCTTTCATCCGTGATATTTCAAGCTTTAAAATGAAAAACAATTTAATTACAAACAATATTCAAATAACTGAGTTGTATAGTGTATTCCTTTTGTTTAATCATGGAGTGGAGCTGTTGCTTAGCGGTTAAGATACTTATTTTAAATAAGGAATATCTATGGAAAACCTCAACGGTGCCCCATATAATTAAAAAGTAAATAAACAGAATAATAATGAAAAAATAATGTACGTATACGCATATATTTCAAAAACAAAAGGCCTACTTACCTTCAAAGAACGTTTATTATCAATTGATATTCGACCTAGTCTTAGGTAATGCTTATCATCGAATAGAATTTTAGCCTGATTCTGAAACAATTCTGGGTCATCACAATAACCATTCTCTTGACTCAAACTCACAAATCTGACGACCAAGATATCGTAGACGGCGTCGGAGAGAAAGTCTTTAGGTGTCACATAGATGGATACTGTCTGCTTATCATCTTCCTTTACTTCCAATCTATCATCATTTTTGGTCTTCATTCGAGATGGAACAACAAATAGTCGAGGGCCATCTTCTGATTCTGCTTTCTTGAACTTTATACGATGAAAAGGGGAAAAAAACCCATCACAATTTTAGTTTGAATGTGAGGAGGGGTGAACTGGTTTTCTTGCGTCTTTTGCAACCTCATTCTCTTTATCCACTTTACCAAAAAAATAACAAACTCAAAATTAAAACAACAGGATTTCCAAACGGGCTAAAAATTAAGAGCCTACGACATTACATAAAGTAATTAATTATTTAGTTGGGATCGAAAGTATAAATAGAGGTACCAATAGGCCACACCTTTTCAAAGAGAAGTCCAAATTCCTTCATAAGTTCAATGAAGTCTTTAAAAACAATGTCGTCATCATCTTCACTGCTTTCGAGTTCATTTCTCCACAAATGCCGTGCTAACGGTTCTTCCAGAATTCCTCCTTCATTTAATTTACGCCAATGTTGTACCATCACTGAATTCTACAAAAAAGAATTAACAAACCTGTTTCAACATACAAATACAGATTTGTAAATAAAATTCAAATCCATTGTGAATAAAAATCGGTTTACCCATGATGATTGACTTTTAATGACTCAGGTATCAGGGAGTATTTGTTGTACCTCTCCCACCCCACCCTATCAAACATACAAACACCCACTTTCCAGTGGTTAATAGAATAGAAACAATACTGTAAATAACTTACAATAAGGTAAGATAACATAAGATGCACTTTTTATTAGTACAATGACGAACATGAAATTTATTTCCTTGATTGTATATTTAGGTACTAACACACGATATAAAAACAATTTTTAGTAAACAGATAAAAAAAAATTAAACAATCATACATGAAAAAATCTTATAAATACTGAGAATACAATCTCTAATGCAATATGTAAGCCAT